TTCAATGTTAAAGCAAAATTTGTTTTGGTCCATATTAAAAGGTTCATTTGTTCAATGTTGGCCCGCGACTTTGTTCAGGTTTTAAATTTTGGCCCACTGTGTTTTTGAGATTGACACCCCTGCCCTACACAATGTAAGCACATATGCTGCCATAGCTCACCCGGTTGAGCTGGCGTCCCAGGTACAGGGGCTGTAGTCCCCAATGCAGAGGTCATGAGTTCAAATCCTGCTCATGGCCCTTTATTTTCTCCCACTTTCCTGTCTCTCTTTCTCTACTGCACTCTCAAATAAAAGCAAAAAGGCCAAAAAAAAAATAACTTTAAAAAAAATGTAAGCGCTGCATGAATGAGAGTGAAACACAGACTTGATGGTGTCAGAAACAAAGCAGCAGTAGATGAAAGAGAATCATCATTCGGTCCGTGCGCCACAACATGAAAGCACACAGAAATAGGTGGTAAGTGATGATATCGATTCTTCTCAGTGTGGCCTTTGCCCATAGTAGATGCTGACAGTTTCCTTTGGTCTCAAGCAGACATTTATGAATGATTTAAACACACCCTGCTCAGAGGTTACGCTCAAACTAGTGCACTTAAGAAGTTCTGAGTTTCAAAGTCATCCCCAAATCAGAAATTCGCTTCTATTATCTAGCTCCAAAGAGCTTCAGTAAAAAAAGCAACTGGTCTTCTCTTTCTGGTTCTTGAAGACATTCATCCAAGAGGCTTTTTCAGTTCACTTCAGAACTGAACTCAGCTTTTTTCTTGTGCTGTACGTGCTGGTACATCCTTAGTGAGTAAACCGGTTAACCTGCCTCGCTTCTCCAAGATTTCTCGGACTGTCTGGCCACAGTGCAGATGTGTGCCGTGTGATTAATGACTGCAGCGTACCGTTTACTGCCCCGTGGATCGGTCATGAAATAACTCAGGAGCGGAGTCCACGAGGGAGCGAGATCTGCACAAATGCACACACAAGCGCTCCCGTGCTGCGTTTGTCCACCGCGGTTTCCGATCCATACCGTCCTGTGACACGATGACATGTGACAGCGCCATTCCCACGAGAATCCTTCTGTCACTTCTCATGGGTTCCCGAGAGAACTGACTTCACGTCATCGTGGTTGTGACAGAGAGGGAAAGAAAAACGGAGGCGACAGGAAGAGAAAGGAAACACTGAGCTAAAAACCTATTTACATCCACAAAACTAAGTGGAATTACTAATAGTTTCCTGATTGAGCGAAAGGGCTAAATAAGGCCCAGAAAACCTCAAAGAGCTTAATGAGAAATCACTAAAGACAGCTGAAGAGCGTTCCACCGCCGGATAAATACAGGATGTTCATCATGAGCGGTTAATGTCGA